TACACTCATTCGAAGAGGTACGAAGTCGCTAGAGAATTCGTTTCACTATGTTACACTCATTCGAAGAGGTACGAAGTCGCTCGAAGAGGGGAGAGGAAAGAAAGGGCGGTAGATGATAATAGCGTCTGGCGGAATGGATGGGCGAAAGGTCTCATATCCCGAGTCTCATGTAAGACAACTAAATGCACCTCGAGGTGCTGCCGAGGAACTGAGGGAAACCCTATTGAGAGATAGAGCTAGCCTATTCGTTATGGGGACGGGCCTTACCTACGGCACCTGGCTTTCTCCGGCGCATATTAGCTTAGCTGTGCTTACGCTTAATAGGCCGGTTTCGTACCTAGAGAACAGAGAACAGAGAACAGAGATTCGTTTCACATAGTGAAACTCATTTCGTTGAACTATGTTCAACTCATTCGACCAACGGGAGTCGCTCGAAGAGGTACGACCAACGGGAGTCGCTCGAAGAGGTACGACCAACGGGAGTCGCTCGAAGAGGAATCTCTGTACCTCTTTCGTCGTCTAACTAATTTGAAACGAATCCCTATTCCCTTTTTCGTTCAAGAAGTCTAATACTATAGCTTGTTCACACCGTATGAGTTTCACGAAATGAGTGTTAGATACGTATCTAACACTTCTAACACTCATTTATTCTTCGGTCCGCTAGTTCACGCAAATCAAAAGAAGTTATCACGGACGAGCCACATGCAGGGAAACTTGCACGTGTGGTTCTGGCCGGGCTTCCTTAGGTATCTAATAACCTTGCTTCTGCTCGCCGCTGGCGCACCTCTCCTAACTATTGCCCATTTATTCTGGAATAATCTTTTTAGGAGGGACAATTTTACATATTTCTGCCAAATCCTTCTATTATTAAGTACGGCTGGTACCATTTCGATGTGTTTCGATTCTTTCGAACAAGAGAGGTTTGATGCTTTTGAATCCATTGTATTAATTCCACTTCCTACTCGCGGTATGCTCTTTATGATCTCGGCTTATGATTCAATTGCCATGTATTTAGCTATTGAGCCTCAAAGTTTATGTTTTTATGTGATCGCAGCATCAAAAAGAAAGTCTGAATTTTCCACGGAAGCCGGCTCGAAATATTTGATCTTAGGTGCATTTCCCTCTGGAATATTATTGTTTGGGTACGACCGGACAACTACCGATATCTATTCATCTCTTTTTTTATAATTTTTATAATGTTTTTGTGAAATAGATATATATATCGTCAACTATCGGATTCGAAGAGAAGCTTATAGACTCTTAGATAGGTACGAAATGAGTGTAACGATTCGTTTCAAATGAGTTGACAGAGAACAGAGATTCGTTTCACTATGTGAAACAACGAACAACGAATTGTGAAACTCATTCGACCTATGACTCCCCTTGGTCGTACCTCTATGTAGTTGTCTGATCTGGGGCTGTGTCTCGATCTCCTATTAAGGGACTAGTTCCTATAGAGATTCCCCTGGGTCTAATTCCACGCCTTATGACGAAAGGGGAGTCGGCGTGGCGTAAAGTGAAGATTGGGGGGAAATTCCCTTCTGGGGTATTCCGAAGGTGTAAACCTAGGCAACGAAAAAGGGGCCCGATACTTCAACTAGAGG